GATGGGATGCCTGGATGAGTGCAAGAGAGAGGGAAGAATAGGAGACTGGAGATGGGATGGAGGATTATGAGTGGTGAGGGGATGGGCAGAGAGCAATTGAAAGAGATGATGAGAGACCACTCCTTGAAGAAAATGGAAATGTAGTGGGTGGTGCTGCTGCTGCTGCTGCTGCTGCCCCTCCTGGTGCTGCTGCTGCTCTAGCTTTTGCTGCTTAGCTCTTCTCGCCTGAGCTCCCGAGCCCACATCCCAGACAGCCCACACACACGCCACTTTCTATCTCTACCGCCAAACATATATCCAGGTTGTTACCCAGGCACCCCGAGCCCCTTCACTCTTACCCGAGGTGGTGACAACGGGGTTACGGTCGAGTTTCTTGGCCATGCCATGCAGCAGCTCCTTGGATCCAAGCCCATACAACCCACACAGCAACCCAATTACCCAGTAACCCAACCACCCAGTCATCCCTCATCTCCTCTCACCTGAGGTGGTAACCACAGGGTTACGGTCGAGTTTCTTGGCCATGCCATTGAGCAGCTCCTTCAAGACGCCGTCAAACTCGTCAAACTCCACAAACCCGCTGTGGTCCTCGTCCGCCTTGCTGAACACCCGCGCACACAGCTCCTCCGCCTCCCCTGGCGTCAGCAGCTGCACCTCGAATGAAGACGCGTATTTCTTGAACCCCAGGGTGATCTCCGTGCGGGAGAGTCGTCCGCGTTTTAGGATGTCCCACTCCATGAACAGCTGGCTTGCCACGGCGTCGAAACGGTTGCGGTCGCCCGTGAGCTATATGGGAGGACGGGGGCAGAGGAGGGGAGGACGAGGGACATGGAACAGGCGGGTTGTCATCGTCTGCCGTTTGTTTGTTTCGCTTCAATGGCTGGGCCAGCCCCTCTCTTCTCCTTGTTTGCTTCATTTGGTTCTTTGTTTCAACGACTGGGTCAGTTGGGTCAATGTCTTTCTTAGATCCTCGCACAGTCTCTTTGGCCCCCACCCACCCACCCACCCACCCACCCGCCCCCTTCTCCATTGACCCACCTGGCGCACAAAGGAGCCAGTGAAGACGGGTTTCTTCTCAGCGGACAGGATGATGGGGCGGCAGGCAAGCTCCTCTGACAGCTCCTTCACCATGTCCCGCAGCATGAGCTCGAACTCGCCCTCGTCCACCTGCAGGTCGCTGCCTCCGTACTTGCCTATCACTCTGGAGAGTAACGCGTCTACTTCCGTGTGGGCTGTTGGGAGCCAGCAAGGGAATGGGAGGGAGAGAGCGGGAGGGACAGACAGAGCGAGGTAGGATGAGATTAGACTCCCCCTCGTCCACCTGTAGGTCGCTGCCGCCGTACTTGCCTATGACTCTGGAGAGTAGCGCGGTCCACTTTCGTGTGTGCTGATGGGAGGGAGGGAGCGGAAGGGAAGGGGTGACGGTGGCCAATCAGCATCAGCTCAAACCCCCCCTCGTCCACTTCCGTGTGTGCTGTTGGGAGGGAGAGAGGGAGGGAAAGGGAGCGTGAGTGTAGCAAGAGAGATGATTAACACCCGTTTCTCCCTCTCTCGACTCTCGTCCAGCTGAGGGTCGCTGCAACACCTTCAAAAGATTCCACAGCAACAAGAACCACAAGAAAAGACCTCTCTATGCTTGCCTGACAGCGGTGTCATACAAGTGCGGCAACCCAACGAGTCTTTTCAGCTCACCTGAGGGCGGCACGAGGCCGAGGGAGACAAAGGCGGGCTTGAGCTCGAGGCGAGAGAGCGTGCCGCTGCCGTCCTCGTCAAACTCCCTAAAGATGTCGCTCACGATCTCCTTGAACTGCTGCGGGTTATCCGCCAGTTCCCTCAGCACTCCCCCGTCGTACACCTCCACCACCACGGGTTTGGCTGGCAGGGAGGAGACGAGGAGGGGAAGGAGGGACATTGGAAGACAAGAAGGGGGATGATGGGGTGATCGCGACATGGGAAAAAGGGGAAGGGGGGAATAGGGTCCTCGTCAAACTCCCGGAAAATGTCGCTCACAATCTCCTTGAACTGCTGCGGGTTGTCTGCCAGCTCTCTCAGCACTCCGCCATCGTACACCTCGACCACCACCGGCTTGGCTGATCAAGGAGAAGGGGAGGGGGGGGGGGGGGGTGGATGGGGAGGGAAGTGAAGTCCTTGAACAGATCGCCACCCCGAGCTGTCTGCCAGCTCCCTGAAGCCACATGGGCCTCCCAGGCATTTGAAGTTCTCCTTGCTGTCCGAAGCGAGGCCCACTGGTACCACTGATACGGCGAGGTGGGAGGGCGGCAAGAGGGGAAAGAAGGTGACGAAGGCTCATGGACGATCCCTGGAACGAGTCTCCAAAGGTGTTAACACTCACCTTCCGAAATTTCCGATCGGCGATTTTTGATTCAGGTCGACTGCTGTGAGGAATGTGAGAGTGAGATAGTGATATGTTGTTCCTGATGCACGAATCGCAATAGGGACAGCCACCGTACGACACTGAGCACGGCACGCGCCACGTCAACATGTGTCACGTCACCGTATGCTCGTCGTGAATTTTGTTCCTGGGAAATCCGAGAACGTTTAACTCGGTCTTGGTGCGGAAGTCAATATACGCTCAATTCACATTCGCGTTACCTCGCATTCTCTCTGACTCACCATCAAGCGTCTCAGAAGCAAGTATCCGAAACATTCGGAAATGGCGACGAATGACACGGTGGGAAGCAATGGAAAGCAGAAACCGATGGTGCTTACTCTCGAGCTCCTGAGAGACGGATTTTAAGAACTCTTTGGAAATGGTGATGAAAGACTCTCGGTCGACCTCCTCCTTTAGGTTGTCCGCCATTAGCGTTGTGAACAATCGATCCACTAACTCGTCTCCTTCCGCCGTCGTTCCCGCAGGCGGTAGTCCCAGGAGCGTCCCGAATCGCACTAATGCGGGTTTAAGCTCCGCGCGGGAGAGCTTTCCGCTCTTGTCGTCATCCAGAAGATCAAAGTATTTGTTCAGAAAGGTTCTGAACTCATCCTCGTCGTTGAGCAGTTTCTTGATCTTCTTCCCGTCGAGATAGCTTCCTTTCGACAATGATCGCTGTAAGAACGCTGGCTTCTTAAATGCCTTCATGGCGACAACCAGGAGCAAGAGAGAGGGGGAGGGAGAGTGAGACCGCGCTAAGAAACAGAGCGAGGGAGCGACAGAGCTAGCAGAAACGCTCCTAGAATCTGAAAAATGAATTGACCAGGCAGACTAGAGCTTATGAAGGAACTGAAAGCAGAGTATGCTGGAGCAAATGCATCACCTCTTTCTGCCACCGTCTGTGTGATCGTCCCCTGATCCTCATTCAGTATGGTTCAAGTCTCCACTCAAATCTTCGGTTATTGCTCTTAAGCGCTCTGGAACGTTTTGAAACCGCAAGCACCCGAACGAACCGAGGTGGATTAGAAAAACGGACACCGCGTTGACTGGAGGAAATCTCTGATTGCCGCGAAATGTGGAAGGCAGCAATGTCAAGAGCGACAACGAGCGAGCTCCACCAACGGTGAAAGGCGCGTACACATTTCAACCCCACACCGTACTCAACCACTCTTACCAAAGCGTAACCATGGCCTTGATCTGTGGCCCCCTTACTCAGAGTTAACTGGTTTCGAGGGGGCTTCATTAACTCAAGCCTCACACGTGTGTGCAATACAATCACACCGAGCCAGCTAACTCAGAGTTAGCAAATAAGGGCCACCTCTACGCAAAGTAACAAAGCGTACTTGGAATCTTCTTTCACTAGCAAACTAGCTCAGTGTTAGTGCTCCCGCTACTCTGGCTTTTGGGGTGAAATACAATACACTACTCAGAGCGCGATTCGAGCAGGGTTAACCTATTATAAAATCAATTTGGTCAATTTTCTGAAACATTTACCCCGCCCGACAAGCTCCCACCAATCTGATTTCTCAAAAGTTTACCATTCTGCCGCATATGTTTTGTAGTATGCGATCGGGGCAGTTAGGGCGCAACCTGAAAAGTTTCACGATAGAGCTTTCAAGAACCCCCACGAAATTTCCTTAACTCAGAGTTACGAGGGGCAACAGATCACCAAGGTGAGTTACAACTCAAACATTCACACGAGCGTAATGATTCACTGTCGGTGTACTCACCCAAGCCTACACGGCTCGGTAACTCAGAGTTAGCTAACTCTGAGTTAGGGCCACAGATCAAGGCCCATATTATGTCAGATCAGAATGTCCTTCATCCGCCTCAATCAGGGTCGCTGACGTAACCATTGGATCTCCAGCACTATTGGACCACACCCTTCAGCTTCAGCGTCAGCGTGGACGTCAAGTGTCCAGGTGATAACCAATGGGTGCTTGCCATGCTATCAACCGCTTAGAATCTTGTGGTGTCATTTGTCCTTTTCAGGTGCCCCTACCATCATGGCCTGTGGTCCCACAACTACAGTAACCAGGGGGTCATGCCATGCCATGCTCATCCCATGCCGTACCGATGTACAGTAGTTCTTGTCCTAAGGTTGGGACTTGGGGGAGCGGCTGGCGGAAGCGCCTTTTAGGTACAGCACTTGACATCTGTTGGTCGGTTCTCCACAGTGGTTGCCCGTGCCAAACAAACCGAAGCATCCGCTATACAATGTTGCTGCGCTTCCAGTAGGAGATAGTAGCTCTACATTCCTGTCGCGGCAAAAACTTCGACATGCTTAGATTATGATAAAAAGGCGCAATATCGAAAGTCAGCGATTTCAGATTGTCACGAGGTTCGATGGGGCTTCGAGCGGTGCAGTGGGATGGAACGAGAACAACCTGTCAGACCATTCAGAACAGTCTACGAACCTGTATCACGGTCCGCCATACCTGGTCCTCTTTATCAACTTCTTCAGAACGCGTGCTTATATCATTCGCAGAACCTGAGCTTTAATCTCTTCGCTGGCCCAACAATTGTCAAGATTCGCCCTTTATAAGCTGCTCTCTTCAAGCGAATCCTGGCTGTGGACCCCGAACCCCCCTTCATAGCATCACATTGCATTCCGATGCATACGACCACGCTACGGTCCTACGTGGCGTTACACTCACGCTCGCCGTTACAATCACGTATCGAGCCGCAGCGCGCATGCCGCTGCTCGTGCGCCCAAGAATCGACGCCATCGCGAAGATCGCCGCCGAAGGCGGAGAAACGGCTACTCGACAGCGGAGAGCGTCCCACGTCGTTTCTTGGATGGAGTTCGCCGTGCTCGCGTTTTCTAGATAAATCGCAGCCACAGCATCGCAGCCGTCGCCGTCGCTGTCGCCGGGGAGAATGGCAGGCGGCTGCGACAGCAGGGAGCGGAGATCGATCAGGGGCGGAAAGGGGAGGGGGAAAAAAGGGAGGGGGAGGGGGAAAGGCGGATGGCGGATTAGGGTTGGCGTGGAGGGTTGTTGAGGAGCTTCCGGATGGGCGGAAGCACGAATTCGCTACAGTGCAGCACTGCGAGGACTTCTGGCTTATAGTGAGGCACCTGGTAAGGAGGCATTTGGTTGAAACGCACTCTGTCTGTCCCACGCATGTACCGAACTCATTTCCCTCGGTTCTCTTCCCCATCTCCCTTCAATCAATTTTCCCATTGCTCTCCTCAATTCCCCTCTGCTCCCTTCGATCCCCGCTGCTCCCCTCAACTCCTTTTGCTCCTCTCCATCCCTCCTACTCCCCTCGATCCCCCTACTCCCCCCAATCACCCCTGCTTCCCCCAGTCCCCCCTTCTCCCCTCAATCCCCGCTGCTCAATCCACAGTCCCAGGCCCTCAATCCCCAGTCCATTGAGCGCCACAATCCAAAAACCCCATTAATCCCCCGCTGCCCCTCTCAATCCCCTCGTCTCCCCCCAATTCCCGCCCCCCCTCTCGATCCCCCCGCCTCCCCCCCTGCCCCAGATGCCATTGGCGTTCCACACGCCTGCTCCAGGCGCAGGTGGCCCTTCAGGTGCCTCCTCAGGTGAAACGTCAGGTGCCACATCGGACAGCGACAGCCTGAGTATTGCGGAGAGGCAGCAGGCGCTGAAGCTGAGGCTGCAACGGAAACACAGAGCAGGAGCAGGTGGGAAGATCAATGTTGGTCATGGGGAAATGAGGATGAATGACGCTTATGGGAGCAGTACAGGCGGTGATGGGGTTAGGAGTGATGATGGGAGGAGCAATGGGAGTCAAGTGAATACTGGCGGTAGTAATGCTGCCAAGAAGAGATACGATTTTGTGCAGTATCCACTGATTCGGCTGATTCACCGCGCTCGGGACTGCTCGCCTGTCACGGAGAAGCATCTGGGCGGCGTGAGTTTGGATCTAGTGGCGGATATGGCCGGCAAACTCAGCAAACTTACTGACGGCACTGGCAGCAGCAGCATCACTGCAGTGGCGGCCTCCCAACTGGGGGCCCTGCATGACGTCATCCTCACCACTGAGGAACCGGCTGAGAAGCTTCCGGCTTCTGCTGGAGCTGTGGGGGGAGCGGTGGGGAAGATGATGGGGGAGAAGGTGGGGGAAGGGGTTGGGGGACTGGGGGGAGCACTGGGGGGAGCGTTGGGGGGAGCGTTGGGGGGATTGATGGGGGGAAGGCGGGCTGTTCCTGCTGGTAAGTCGGTGCGGAGCAGAAGAGGGGGGAGGGATGGGGGTGACAGCAGCAGTATCAGCAGCAGCAGTATTAACAGTAGCAGCGACACCAGCAGCAGCATCATCAGTAGCCGACGGGCTAAGGAGCTGGAGGGCATTCTTTGTCCTACTAAGGGATTAAAAGTGCACGTGCTGTGCAATGCACGTGTGGTGCAGATGCCGATGGAGCGAGTGGAGCAGCTTGAGACGTGCCCTTGCCTGCCAGGAATAGCCCTCCCCGTCATGGTATGTGTGTGTTGCGCCTGCACCTGCACCTTCTATGTGTGTGCTGCACCGGCTAGCGTGTGGGGGCTTTGGTGCCACGTGTTGAGGAGCTCGAGACGTGCCTGCCAGGAATAGCCCTCCCCGTCATGGTGGGTACTATGCGGTGCTGTTGCTGTTCCTGGCGAACCAGTCAACTACTCCGCCCCCCCTGCTCCCATTCCGTGTTGCAGGGTAGTAAGGGGGGAGGGCAAAAGAATATGGGGGTTAGGAAGAGGGGGGAGGGAGGGAGCGGGAGAGAGGGGTAGGTTCCCATCATGCGCCACGACACGCACTGACATTTGAGTCAACTCAAGTTGTGAGGGGGGTAACACTAGCGACGCGAGGGACAAGAACAGACATTTAGTAAAGCTAACTACCCCCCTCAGCAATGGGGGAGTGGTAATTGGAGGGATGGTTGGTTGTAAGCAGTGATGGGGGAGTGGACCCCCCTGGGTGCGTGTGATGGCCCATGATGAGAACCAGCAGCAGCACGTGTACCTGGTATGTGTGCAGTAGGATTCATACTGTAGTATGCTGTATGGTATCCAGCATGTGTGCATGGTGTGCATGCAGCATGTGTGCATGTGTGCATGGTGTGCATGCAGCATGGCACATAGTGTATACCTGGTGTCGTGAATATCTATCCACTATGTACATACAGAATAGCTGCGTAAATCTCGTGGCCATGACACCTAACCTTGTGAGTTTGTCTCAAATCTTCGCATGGCGTTAGCCCTGCGTGCATGCGACATTGTGGAATAAAAGGCATGTACAAACGGATGGTGTCACCCCTCACACCCCCCCCCCCCTCCCCGCCCCCCTCCCCCCCCCCCCTTCCCCCTCACCCCCTCACCTGCCCTGCAGTTCAAAGGAGCAGCAGCGCGCTCTATTCTTCGAGCCATGGACCACTGCCACGGCAGGCTGCTACTGGACGTGCAGTCGCCTCCCGCTCCTCCCCACCGCCAACAGCAGCAGCCGCAACAGCAACGAAGGCAGCAACATCTGAAACAGCAGCAGCTGCTGCGGCGGCTTGAGGCTGTAGAAGCCACCAGTTGTGAGGCCAGATCTGTTCCTCCCTGCATGGACAGCGATCGCTGCTTTGCGGCGTACCATGAGGCGGGGCATGCCCTTGTTGGGGCGCTGAGTCCGCTTGCTCGGGTGAGTGATGATGTGAGTGAATTTTGATTAGGTTTTGAGTGCAGGAGCGTGTTTGCACACCGAGTTTCGAATGTGAGTCGTTTGAATGGGTGCGTGTGCATGAGGTGAGGTTGGGGGGTGAGGGGAATTGCGCACCGTATTAAGTACCACCCCATACCCCCATCGGCCAATCAGGTGGAGGGGGTGTATCTGGAGGACGAGGGCCAATCAGCAGCACCGGGAGGGCCCTATCGGCCAATCAAGTACGCGGGAGGGACGGACATTGTGTGGCGGGGGGAGATTGAGCCAATGCCGTTGCGACAAGTGGTGGTTCACGCCATGGCTGTGTGGCTAGCTGGCATGGTGAGGGGTGTACTGTGGTTACGCACACACGCGTGCACATGCACACACAGAAGCACGGGAACATGGGCATGAACATGCGCAGAGGCATGCTACCAGAGGAACCTTCATATGGGCGGGCATGAACATGCATATGGGCACATGGCCTTAGAGCATAGATTGCTACCAGAGGAACCTGATCGTCCCCATCGATATCCTGCCTCTGCTCTTCCAATTCTTCCCCCTGTTTCCCGTCCCCATCGCCGCCAGGCAGCAGAGGAGCTGATGTTTGGCCGGGTTGACTACTTCACTCGATCCGACGGCTGGTATTCATTCTCTGATGACCTTGCAAATGGTATGTGTTCTTTTTGTGTGTGTGGGGGAGGGAGGGGGTGTCTTCAATGTTGCATTGCCTCTCTTGTTCCATCTCAGGCACCTCCTTCCCCCCTTTCCTCCTCCTTGGCCACCCTAATTGCCCTTTTGTTCCCCCGATTTTCTCCTACACATCGGACTTGTTCCTTCTCCCCCCTTCCCCCCCTCCTCCTCCTCCCATCACATCTGCTCCTTACCTTCATCTGCGCTCGCCACGGCCTTTGCTCTCATCGGCCGCGCTCCAGAGGTGTGGGGTGCTGTACCCACAGCACCACAGCGAGAGGCGGCACATGTGGAGGCACCACAGAAGCATCCCTACATGCCTTTCTTGTTCCTCCTCTCCCCTCTCCCCCCTTACCTGCCCCATCAGCTGCTGCGCTCGCCACGGCCTTTGCTCTCATCGGCCGCGCTCCCGAGGTGTGGGGCGCTGCACCCACCGCACCACAGGGGGAGGCGACACAGGCAGAGGCACCACAGGAGGGAGAGGATCAAGCAAGCAGTCAATCTGAAACCGAGTTCCAGCAACAACAGCAGCAGCAACAACAGCAACAGCATCAAGAACAGCTGCTGCAGCTGCTGCTGCAGAGTGCCATCCACACGCCGCGCATCACAGGCTGGCGCGTGCCCTCCTCCGCTGCCTTCTCTGACCTCTTTGGTGCCGGGCCGCAGGACCTTAGAGCGTGGCCTGAACGCCTGGAGATGAGAGGTGGACAGGACGGTCTGAGGGAAGGGGTGGAGGAAGGCAAAGCAGAAGCAGCAGCAGGAGCAGGAGAAATGGGAGGAGCAGCAGTAGCAGCGACAGCAGCAGTGAGAAGGGTTGGGAGAGGTTTAGAGATGCCTGGGATGGGGGCGCACGAGCAGAGGGTGCTGCAGGTGGTGCGGGAGGCAATGGCCCTGGCGTGCTGCACTCTCCGGCAGCATGAGAGTGCTCTGCATGCCATTGCATGGCGCCTCGTGGATGCTGGGGAGGCGAGTGAGGGTGAGATTGCTGCTGCTGTCGCCAGCTGTAACAATGAGTACAAGGATGTAGTCCCAACTCCAGCGGCTGCTGCGGCTGCAGGGTGATTCCTCTTGGGTGTTGCGGCTGCAGGTTGTGCCATCGGGGAATGCAGGTGGTTCAGGAGGCAATGGCCCTGGCGTCCTGCACTCTCAGGCAGTATGAGAGTGCTGGCACCTCATGGATGCTGGGGAGGCAATTGAGAGTGACGCCGCTGCTGCTATCACTTCTGCTGCTGCTGGTGCCAGCGCTGACATGCTGCACGGTGTAAATTAACCTGCAGCTGCCCCGCCCCTCCTGCTGCGGCTACCGGGTGAGGTGATTCCTCTCAGTGTGCCACTAGGGAACGCAGGTGGTGCAGGAGCCAATGCCCCTCCAGCTGATCAAGAGGCTTGCAGGTGATCCCTCTGCGTGCCATCGGGTGCTGTAGGCGGTGGCTATTGAAGTTGTTGCTGTTTCTTCTCTTCACCAGGTTGATGCATTGCTTCGTCTCTGACTGAATCTTGCAGTTGATTGTTCATTTTATAAAGAGCTCACACTTCCTGTCTGTAGCAGAAACCCATTGCGCAAACCCACGTAGCCTAAGCATTGCTGGAGAAGTACACAAATCGTATGGTGGTGAACTGAATACCCTAATGCGTGCTTTTCGAATCAAAACACTTGTTTCAAGGTAAAAGGATTAACTGCGGCAACTTACTAGAGGGTACACTGACCAGAATGCGCACATGCATAATCTGGAACCCTGCTATTCAAGCCAGAACCTCCACTCAACAATGTGGAGAGCGTCCACGGCCTCGAGAGCGTCGAGAGTGTCGATGACAGCCTCACAGCCTCCACAGCCTCCACAGCCTCGGTAGCGTCAATAGCGTCGAATCGACGGCCGAACCGGCGGTAGTCTCGGCAACATGACGGCTTCGACAGCCTCGACAGCCTCGGCATTTGCTCTTCGGCCCAAACCAAATTCAGCTCTGCATCCTGGACATATAGTTGATTTCTAGGCACTGTTTGGTGGGCACTGAATTCCGCCGGTTTACGATTTTCCACGAATGGCCTGGGCGAGGCACGCAGAGCATTCCGTGCGGGGGAGGGGACCTTCGTGCATGACTCGATTCGCGACGAGGTGGGTGACCCCGTGTGAAACCTCTCTGGTGTGATGCTTCGTCGCCTGAGGTAACGCTCCCTTGTTCCTGGCTGCCTGAGGTGACGCAACCAGGCTCTGCTAGGTGGTTCGGTGTGATTCAAACGAAGCATAGGCTCCATGAGATTCCGAACCTGAAGCGCGGAACCGTGTGACGCACAGACCTCGTTTAGGAACCAGCATGCATGCATGAATGATGATGGGCCGCGAGTCGTGATTGAGACTCTCAATGTGCATCACATGGGATCATTCTGCAAGAACTGCTGTTCGATAGTCCGACGCATCCACACAATTCCAGCATATAGGAGCCTCCCCCAGGTTGTAGCCTGGACTGTAAGAACTGTTAAGACCAAAATCTGTAAGCGTGGCTTTCCAGTTTCTAGCTCGGATCTTTTTTGTGGAAGACGAATTCGTGCTCTTACCTGCCAGTTAATCGCCCGAGACATGAGCTCCTCAGACATTAGTTGCCTTCCTGATGATGTTTTGATAAGAATTTTCTGGAATTCAGACGTAACCATCCCCAGACCCGAAACCGCTGCTCGTTGGTCGACTTCTGTCCGTGATGATAAATTTTTACCGGACCCTGTTCCGTATTCTCCGCCATCCGCCAATGTCGCTCATGTTCTCCTTATTGCTTCTGTCTGTCGTCGCTGGCGTCGCATCGCACGTCAGTCCGTTACGAGCCTTCAAGTGTTGGAGAATCGCGTGGTTTCCCGCCAGGATCTCAAGCGCGTGATCGTGTCCTTCCCGGATCTCACTCATCTGCACTTGAGCAACAGGAGCATGGAAACCATTGATGACGATTTTCTGGCAGCTCTCGCCTCTTCGTGTCCAAATCTGACTACTTTCTATGTTGGTACAGGCGTTGCCCCAGGTGACTTCCTTTTGGGAAAATCACTGCACCCCATCACTGAAGATGGATTGGATTATTTCGTTCGACACTGCAGCCATCTGGAACAGCTCTCTCTTCACTGTCCGCATCACAAAACCAAGATTCCCAGCTCTTTCTTCCGACTGACCTGTCTACAGACGCTGAGTCTGCGTGATGCATCTGCAATTGGGAATGACAACTTCACGGATCTGACCTCTCTTGTTGAACTTAGGATTGAAGCCCCATATAGCGGTATGAAGCTTCGCCAGTTGGCACCTTTGGCCCATCTCCCCAACCTCACCAGCGTATACTTTCCTGCTGATAGCTCGCTTGACATGGATGAAGACGAAGAGGGTTTTTCATTCTCGCAGTTGACAACTCTCCAGTCGTTGGAGTTCAACGGACATTCTATCATCTTCAATGTGCTTTTCGCATCTGGATTGCCATGCGTGCATCTGAAACGCTTGTTGCTAAGCGGCTGTACAGATACAGTTCTAAGAGGTGATTTTGGCAGGCTATTCCCATGCCTCCGAGAGCTCATGATTTTCGCGAGCGTCGATCTGACAGAGCTGCCAAGTTCACTCACTTCTCTCTGCTGCTTGGAGGTGCTCATTGTCGCCTGCTGCTACAGTTTATCCAGCCTGCCTGAAGACATTGGAAATTTGCCAAAGCTAAAAATCTTGGTGATTAGGGAGTTGGAGTTATCAAGACTGCCTGATTCCCTTGGATTGCTCACAGGGCTGTGTGCACTGTCGATAATGGGGTGCTCTGCCATTGTCATTCTTCCAGATTCAATTTCCTGCATGATTTCTCTCAAGTCTCTAACAATTGAAGAAGTTGGCTTGACATCGTTTCCGGAGGAAATAAGCGAGCTGAAAAATCTCCAGACCTTGGTTCTGAGCAAGATGAAGACGTTGCAGCAGCTCCCTTTGTCGTTTACTCAGCTTCCATCTCTGACGCGGCTGGAAATCAGCAAGGTTGGACTTATCAGTCTTCCACGGGGTATGGAGCAGCTTTCTTGCCTGCGGCATCTGATTTTGAGCCAGTGCAACGAGATGCTTGAGCTGCCCCAGTCCATCACTCAGCTGACCCGCCTTGAGACTCTCAAAGTGGAGATGTGTGCCAAGCTTGCATCTACACCGAGGACCATGGAGAGCCTCTCAAGCCTGCAGCAGCTGTATCTGAAGGGATGTCCGCTTCGAGAAGCTCCAATGTGTTTGCCTCATTCAATAAAGATCTTCAGTGTGGGCAATGACAGGGAGAGCATCATTCTCCCAGTTGTGCTAATGCCGCCTGGTCTTACGCAGCTGCACTTGAATAGGGTTATGCTGAGGGACGGGTTAGCCACCAGCAGCAGCCTCTCCCAGCTGGAGCATCTGGAGTTGCTTCTCGGTCCGGATCAAGAGAATCTCCCACTTCCACTGACCTTCCTCTCACGCCTCCGCACTCTCCACATTTCTCATGCTCCATGTTTGCGAAGGCTCCCAGGTGAAATAGGCTCAGCGCTGCCTCAGCTGCGCCAGCTGCATGTGGAAGGAGCGAGCTGTTTGGAGAGTGTACCAGACAGTGTGACCCAGCTGCTGCACCTCACCTCTCTTCATGTTGAAGCTCCAAAGTTGGCTCACCTTCCTGATGGGATTGGTGCCCTGTCACATTTGCGGGAACTGTGCCTGCGCAAGTGCTCTGCCATTAAACACCTTCCAGATTCCTTCGGTCACCTCTCCTGCCTGCATAAGCTGGACCTTTTTAAAACGCCGATATGCAGCATCCCTTCCAGTTTCAGTCGATTGACAAGGCTGAGGGACTTGGATTTGGTAGGATGTCAATTGTTTAGGCTTCTTACGCCACAAAAGGTGATGCGGGAGCTGTTGCAGCTGAAGCTACTGCGCAGTTTGCATATCAGCTATGGTGTGTTGGATGATGAGTCCGAAAACGTTGGACAGGGCGCTGGCTGGAGAATGAGTTACGAACTGTGATGTGAAGCTTCAGGTTAAGTCTTAAGGAGTTTCTGTAGATCATTTACGTGCAATGTCTCAGATTTTGCTGGTTTCCTTTTGAACTGATGCTGGTAGATTGTGCTTTGAATCCACCACTATCTGAATGTTGCAACATCGCTCCAAGCTGTACCCATTCGCACCTCGATCTCCGTCCAGCCACCATTTGTTAACGTATCTGCCACTAATGGGTACTGTTATTCTGCATCCCTACCAACACTCCTTGGGAAATGGGGACATAGCGTGCTCCTGGAATTGCTGAAAACCCTGAAATGGATTTCACATGTTTGGCAAGTTGGAAACATGTCTGAATGAGCTTGTGCCACCATGCTTTTTTTTCTTTTCTTTTCTTTTTTCTTCTTCTTCGTCTCTGCAATCCCTAGCCACAAAAGACCATATGCCATACTGTTCAATCAGAACTGTAACCGCCAAACAAGTGTGAACCGTTTGGAAGAGTTGAATGACAAGACCAGAAGAGAGGAGTGTCCAGCCTAAATGGCGTAAGATTATATGCATCAGATAAATGGAACGGCAAGTGAGTATCTGAATGGCATGAGACAATCCGCATGACATGAGATGGGACCGCTGGCATTATTATTTTTTGGATGGTATGCAATACTCTGGATGGCATGTGATGTTAAGGAAGGCATGGAGATAGGATGGATGAAGTGGGATGGACGGGATGATATAGTATGTTTGCTAAGTTCAGTATCCACTAGAGTACAATTTACAAAATACACGAGCACTTGGGTAGACAAAGGTGCAACGCATCAAATGGAGTCTATCATCCCTTCCCTGTTTGACGCCTTGTCAATCTGTGCACCTTCTTTCCCATGCACCTAGCATTAGCATGAACTGAGACACCTGAGTACTTCCGTTGCTCCTCCCTTCCTTTCTTAAACTCACACAAACCCCTCCATTCCCTCAACTGACTTCTATAAGTTCCAGCAACACCCTCCACATTGCTCACCCCCTCTCCTCCCCCATCCTGACTATATGATCGCAAACTCCTTTCTGTGAGCAGCAATCTTCTCACTCTCCTCATCCTCCTCCCTCCTCTCTTCT